GCAAAAACTGTACCATAAGGCACACAGGAGATGAACAAGGTCCTATGGAAAATCAGTAGCAGAGCAAAGAACTGGTACCCAGGCCTCCTGAATCCCAGATGGGTGCTCAGTCCTCTGGAAGACAATTGCCATGCCATAGGATCTAAAACTGATAAATATCAACACATTGAGGTTGAAGGTGACCTGAAGAAGAATGCATTGTGTTTATAAGCTTGTCTATCGCAACTATCCAGTTGGTCTAATAAAAGGTATTGCCCACAAAAATCCTTGTCTCTTGCATATTTTCTGGACCAGCATGGCTACAACATCACTTCAATGCTACCAACCCATTAAGGATGATATTTGAGCCTCTTGGAGGAAGAACAGAGTAGTGAAGTGACTTTTGCAAAGAATCATAAATGATACCAAGAACCCCATCTCTACCCGCTTCCCCCAACCATCTGGCCAGATGTGCTCCCTCATTCATACTAATGGGATCATGTCTGTCTCTTTCCACTGCCCTTCAGGGGCCCCGGGGAATAAAACTCTAGTTCCAACTGAGCTCTGTAATGGTTTTGGAAGCTGAATCAGCCTCCACCCATCCCCATATCATCCCATCACCCAGCAACTTTTGGTCCCTGTAAATCTCCTGCCTCTGTCTGCTTGTTCTGTGAGGCTTCATCATCCAGTAAAGGCTTTGCTCCTAAAGAGTAAGGGTCTCTGAGGAAAATGCACAAGAATAAGCATAAGCTAGTGCTAAGCCATAGCTAACTAATATGCTGTCTTAAAGAGAGGAGGAAAAACACCCCTTGGCAAAGCCTGAGAAACTAGAGATTATAGTTTACTTTTCCTAGCTTTGTAGTCCTGAAACAAGAGACCCTGATGGGACTGTACTGGAGAAACATAAAGGGCCAGGAGAAGATATAACAACAATCCAAGATGGAAAGAGACCCATATGTTGTATTCTTGCTGTGTTCATATGCCTTGTTGATTGTAATATCTGTACAACATGCAATGTGTTCTGATCCCTGAGTCAGGGCTGGAATAAATCAAAGGAACTAGAAGCTTATGCCTGGCCCCCAGTTCCTTGAGTCAAAAGCCTGAGGTTACAACCTCACCTTCCATGGAGAAAGGCATCTGTCTTGATGTAAAGAAAGGCATGCAAGTGTGAGCTGAGTGTAACTGAGGCTGCCTGAGTGTGCAGACAGCCTGAAATACGAGCTCTGAGGTGCAGGCTATTCTGCCCATTTCAACCTGCTGCCACCCAACAGAAGGGTTGGGTCTCAGTGTGGGAACAAAGCCCAGATGCTTTCAATTCAGCCAAGCTCCAAGTATCTTTCCAGCGCTCTTCTGGGCATTTTCCCTGGCTGCTATGGAGGGTTGAAATCTGTTTGCTGCAATGAGTAGCCAACTGTAAACGCAGTTCTCCCAAAGGAGCCTTTCGCACATTCAGACAGAGCCTACTTGCTTTAAAATCTTTGGCTGTGTTGTAATGTCCCTGGGGGAGTGGTAGGAGCCCCAGACACATGGATTGCAGAAAGTGGAATGGACAAGGCACTGGAGACTGTCCTAGGGTGTGAGCCTTCATTAACTGACCACCTACAATATCTTCGCACTACTAATTTCTTGGATTCAGACAGTTTGGTGGCACCACGGTTTCTTTAGTGTTCAACTATGGATATAGCCATGACTTAAGCCCTTTTCGGGGCTAATGTATGTCAGGCCATTTGCCTCTGTCTATACCCTTGCCAAATCTTAATCACTCTCCTGTGTCATAGCAGCCAGCATCCTCTTCTCTAGCAATGTTCTTACCTCTGTTTCTAGCACTGTAACAGTCATTTGTCTCTCAATAAGTTCCAGTGGGCACCTTATTCACCTGTGCTGATGGCTTCTGAGTTTTTCCAGAAGCCTGTCTCCAGAAGCTTTTACTGTAGCCTGTTGTTACAGTATCCTGATGACTCTCCCTCCAGGTTCCTGATTTGGACTTTGGAATAACCCCAATTAAAGAATACTCCCAGGAAAAAAAAGCTTTCAAGTGGGACACTCTGCATACTGGGACTGGGTCTCTGAGAGTTTAAGGCTTCCACTGTATTCACTAATCTTTTTTCCATTAACTTTAGCATGAATTGGATTGGACCATGCATAAGCATATGGTAAATACCTCTGCAGTGAAGAGGTGAATGATAAAGTTTCTAGTAGTCTGAGACTGAGAATCTTGCTCTGACCCCTAAAGCTATAAGATAGAGTATAATAATATATCATTATGCTATATTTTATTACATATATTTTATATAGTTTCTATATTACTAAAAGTCCCTAGCATCTTGCTTTTACAGACCTCATTTTCTGTTGCTTTTCACTTTGACAAAAATGTAATGGCTTGAGCTGAAATTTGGTATTTCTGGGGGGTTTTCCCCTTCACTTTGCTTTTTTTTTAGATCGTAAAAATGACACACACAAACTATATGAAAGTTACCAGAATTGAAGTCACAACCCCAAGTTAGTTTATGTAGTTATGAGTGGGGTCATGAGGCCAACAGACATTTCTTTATAGAAGCAGGGCTTGCAACCAGAAGTGTGTTTTGGGGGCCTGGAAGTGAAGTCCCTAGTGGAAAAATCTGGGAACCACCAAGCTGTCTTCAGTGACAGTTATTTAGGTAGCAAAGTCAAGGCCTCAAGAAAATGAGGTAGGTACCTGGTCCAAAAAAAGAAAAGGGATAGAACAGAGGGCACATACAAACGAGTGTGCACGTGAAGGGCTGTGCATTTGCTGTGGCACAAATAGCAGTGGCACATATTTGTGCCGCTGCTTTGTGCCCCAGGGCACATCCCACCATATGTGGCACATGCCAAATTGTCCTGGGTGGGGTAGGGGAGGTTGGGTTCAGTACCTGTGCTTGCCCCAGCAGCCTTACCCAGAGTCCTTGGAGCCTCTGAGGGCAGCAGCATTGCCAATGCAGCTGCACAGAGCCTGGCTGGCAGCCATAGTATGGCTCCATTTCTGATGACACACACTACTGCTGCATGCACCACACTGCTCTTTTTTTTTTTTTTTTTGCATACCTGTATCTCCCAGTGTCAACTTTTGGTGCAACGCTGCAAATTAGCAGCGCGGCAAACAGTTGCATGTGCACCTTGTGAAGTTTGCAGCACCTCAACCAGCTTGAGGTGCCACAAACCGCACATGCACGCTAGCCTGGACATGCCGAAAGGAGCCAAATTGAGGTTGTACAGGCAGTCTTAACCCTGGCACTTCCTAATGTTTGAAGGCTTCACTTTGGGCCTTGTTATATGTTCATTTTAGGTGGGTGTGCTGCTCAAGTTGAAGGTATGACTGCAAGCTGGCACTAAACCAATCAACACTTGTACAGCTCACAGTGTAATGTGTAGCAAGGCACTTAGCAAAATCCATAAAGCTATTTTAACATAGATGGTTTTTGGGGGCGAAGATAGGCGGCTTGGATTCTGTCTGTGTGCTTTGTCTATGTCTATATCGTCTTCTATTTATTTAGCTAGTTAACTAATTATAATGATGTATGTATGCATGCGTGCATGTGTGTGTGTGTACATATATATGTGTGTGTGTGTGTATGTATATGTAATCATATTTGCATAAGTTAGTGCATAAGAAAAATGTCCCCTGCTATAGGACATTTCCTCCAACTCTCTCAAAGCACTTTATAAACACCAATTGTTTAACTCATAGCATTGCCAGGAGTTAAAGGAATTCTGTATTCTCCAGCTGGAGACGATGAAAAGAGGCTAGATGCCTTGCTCACACAGTGGCAGACTTAGGTATAGCACCCAATAGCCCAAGTCCCTCTCCCCTGCTGTAATCATTAGACAGCAGTGTCTCCTTTAAAATGCTGTGATTGTAAGGCAGACACAGAAGAAGCAGTAAAAATCTCTCTTTTCCTTCCTTCCTCATTCCTGCCCTGGAGCACTTTGGGAACACTGCAGTAGCACTGAAATGGAGACAGCTGGAAATAACCTAGATTTAAAAATAATTAAAATACCAGGGGTGTTTAACAGGCAAGAAAAGAGTTAGTGAAACCACATGAAAAGTGCAGCAATCCCAAAGAAGGGCCGAAGAATTCACAAGGAATGAGGGACCCTTGGGTAAAATCTTGGCCCCCAATGAAGTCAGTGGCAAAATGCCCTCAGCAAGGTAGGCCTGTCTTCAGTCAGGGTCTGTGCATGATCCAAAGTTGAATGCAGTTTAGAGAGGTGATTCAAGGCTTCTGCTTGACTAGTGCACGGGGCAGTCACTTGCTTGAAAGATTCCCGTCAGCCCCATTTGACACCATCACAGCTCCCAGAATTAAGGTCTAGGTGAGCCTCTTCTCATCTCCAGCTTCCTTTGGGAGAGGTGTGAGTGATGCAGCAGGACGGACTTTGGCCTGGGAATCAGGTGATCAAAAGCTGCCATTGAGGAGACATCATGCTACTTTTTGGCTGTGGATACAAAGAGGGCTCAGTGGCATGTTATCAAAGCTTCAAGTCTACCCCTTCACCAATGCTAGGTTCATTTACAGCTAACATATACTGGCAAATAAGAAGGGCCACCCAGCTATGGTGGTATCTCCCTACCTAGGTCATTGGTAACATGGAGGCTGGCGCTAAGGTATATTGTACCATTGCTCATTTGGAAGGGGGCGGGAAAAATCCCTTGAACATCTGATGGCTAATACAGCCAATGAAATCTTTCATTTAATCAGTTCCAGGAGGAGAGATGGGGCAGCCAGCCTTTGAAAATGTAAGATTCGGATTTGCCAGCACAAGGGGAGGGAGCGGGGGAGGATTTTCCATCTTTAACTGAAATTAAAAAAATATGGCAGTCGCTGAAGCAAACCTTCCCAAAGAGGTCAGGAGCGGCTGCCTCCAAGTCTGAGAATACTGCTGTATCAGCCGCAGGCACGAAGCAGCCCCCATTTGTCTTTAAGTGGACATCACAAGGCTTGACTCTGGCATTTTCCAGCTTTGCTGGAGCATTTCTCAGGCTGTCTCTCCATCTTTTACAGGCCTCCCTGACTTAGTGCCTGATCCAAACTATGTCCAAGCTTCCACCTACGTCCAGAGAGCTCACCTCTACTCTCTGCGCTGTGCTGCTGAAGAGAAGTGCCTTGCCAGGTAAAGAAATGTCTGATTCAGTGCCACCATTTATTGTTATTTCATCACAAGCTCTAGCTATCATTATTATTATTACTACTTCTGCTACTGCTACTACTACCGCTACCTTGGCTTCTAGGGTCAGGTGATTGGGTGAGAATTTATTTTTTAAATAAATGTTTCTAGCCCTCATGGTTACAGAGAAAAGCTTTCACCTGTAGACACTATAGACAATGAAACTTAAAGACCAAAGATGATGATGATGATGTTGCTGGTTATTAAGAAATGCCATGATATTTAAACCAGTTTTTTGATTCTTGAGGGCCTGAGTCCTGATAGTTGAATACTGGGGGTTGATGATAGTGTTGTCTCCACCTTAGAAGTAATGACAGGCCAGCCTCCAAAAATCTGATTGAGTTTTGAAAGATCTTGGACCCAGAGAGCAGGTAGGTACTCTTGAGGATTGATTGGTGTCAGATAAACACGATGAAGATCCTGCTATCATTCAGGCACTGTCTGAAACACTGCTGTTCCACTTCCAGTCCCAGCTGTGCTCTCAGAGGTGTGAGGAAATGGAGACAACAGAGGAAATGGACTCTTCACAAATAGGCAGGGAGCTACAAGACTGTAAATGTGATGCCATTGTGTTGTTTTACAGTTTTCTTTTGCACATGCCTTGGTTTCAGAGTCAGTGGCACAGAGGTCAAAAACTTTTAAATGAAAGCTGCTGCTTTTGGGAGGGAAATGGGGTTTCAATGATGACAAAACAATTTACAGAAAGAAACTGTCTTCCTCTTGCTCCCTATTTTTCACTGGAGTTTTGAAAGTAAGTTTTTAAAAATTTCAAAATGTCCTGAAATAGTCTCAGTTTTCTATCCATCTCCCAGTGTTACATGTATCGGGTGGGATTTTCAAAAGTACTTGCCTTGGACCTACTTCATGTCAAAGGGTCAATGCTAAGCAGTTCTGAAAATCTTACGCTAGGTGCATAGGCAGACAAGATTCTTTGAGTAAATCCTATATCTTTTATTAGACCAACTCAAATAGTTGGAAAATTTCTTCTCTGCAAGCTTTTGGGTATAGATACCCTTTGTCAGGCTGAGGAAGTATCTGCAGTTGCTTTGTGCTCTTCCTGAATGGTGCATGAAGACCTGGTTCTTGACCAGGTCTTTGGACTAGCTAAAAAGCACATTGTTATTAGAGACCCCAACCCTATGCCCAAAGCATGCTGGAGAAGGGTTTTGGGTAGTTAGCCACTGCTGTGTGTATGCCAATGTAGTGTAGACACCATGGCAAAGTTCAGTAGCTGCTAAGCATGGGAGTTAGGGGCACAGCTTCTGAATCAGAACTTCCTCGAACTGAAATGCTGGAGGCTGCAAGCGAGAGAGGAACAGTGGGGAAAAAACCCTGGTCATACCCAGTTCACTCTCCCTTTCAGCATCCACTCTTTGCCACTGTGTGACATGGGAGACTGGGCAAGATGGACCTATGGTCTGACCCAGTAAATGGCAGTTCTTATGTTCTTATGTGTCTCATTTGGGCATCTCAGGACTTGGACCTCATAATCTTAAATCACAAGAAGATGAGGGCTGATGCTGGGTGTGCTTTGCCCCAAATTGTCTCTGGGGATTTTGCTAGCTCAAATAAACCAGAGACTTTTCCAGCTGTGTTCATACCCTTGTGTGCCCTCAGTATTGTGGCCTCTTATAATTATAAGAGTCTTTTATTCTTGCTTGTAAGCCCAAGTTCTTGGAGTAAAGGCATTTCATAAGAATTGCATTCAAAAAGTGAGGGTTGTTTCTAATCCTGATATTTGTTGGAAGCTTAAATAACGGGGCACCAAATGTTTCAGAAGGGGACTGTGGTGGCAAAAAGCTTAAGTCATTTGCTTCACTGCTTGGCTTGGGTGGACTCTGTTAGGACTAATGGCTCAAAATTGGTAGGGAAATAAAAAGAATCCAACCTTTTTTGTTTTTAGCATCTCATGATGTTAGGAACAATCTCATGGGTTTGGGAGTTGGTATTTCCATGCCTGCTTTCCATGAGGAGTCTAACAGATAAGTTTATTGCTCAAAATATTCGTGGAATTTGATGGAAATATTTGGGAATATTACTAGGAAGTGAATGGTAGCGTTCTAGACGTGAGTGCTCGTTCACTTTAGAAATCTGATCCTAAAAGCATCCCTTCAGACCGGGGGGGGAAATGTAATACTGTGTGACCTCTGTGTCCAATCAAAACAAACCAAAATGGCTTGACTATTGAATTCCAGTTACAGTAAATGTTCCTGGACATTCAGACCAAGGAATGACTTAGTGACTCATTCTGAATGACCCATGCATTTGAGGAAATCATGAGCAGCTTGGCTATGATGAGTGTGCAGCAAAGGGAGGCTGAGTTTGTTGAATAAGTTATTAGCTGCCAAGGATGGTCTGGTTTTCATGTTGGCTGCAGCACTGGGGCATCCACGCTGTTATTAAAGCAAACCCTAAGAATCATAAGAGAAGTAGGGCTGGAAGGGACCTCCGTAGGTCATCTAGTCTACGCCCCTGCAGGATCATCCCAAGATCCTTGCTGGGGACCTAGTAAGTGGCAAATACAATCATAGAAAATTAGGGTTGGCAGGGACCTCAGGAGGTCACATCTAGTCCAAAGCCCTGCTCAAAGCAGGACCAGCCCCAACTGCATCATCCCAGCCAGGGCTTTGTCTAGCCAGGTTTTGAAAACCCCCAAGGACAGAAATTACACCACCTCTCTGGGGAACCTGTTCCAGTGAGAAAATTAATCCTGATATCTAACCTAAACTTCCCTTGCTGCAACTTGAGCCCATTGCTCCTTGTTCTGTCATCTGCCATCACTGAGAACAGCCTGGCTCCATCCTCTTTCGAAGCCCCCTTCAGGTAGTTGAACGCTGCTATTAAGTCTCCTCTTAGTCTCCTCTGCTCTAGACTAAATAAACCCAGTTTCCTCAGTCTTAAATCATGCCCCCAGCCTCCTCACTATTTTTGTCGTCCTCTGCTGGACTCTCTCCAATTTGTCCACATCCTTTCTGTAGAGGGGGGCCCAAAACTACTCCAGATGTGGCCTTATCAGTGCTCAATAGAGGGGAATAATCATTTCCCTTGCCCTGCTGGCAACACACCTACAAATGAAGCCCAGTATGACTTTAGCCTTCTTGGCAACAAGGGCACGCTGCTGGCTCATATTCAGCTTCTTGTCCACTGTAACCCCCAGGTCCTTTTCTGCAGAGCTGCTGCCCAGCCAGTCAGCCCCCAGCCTGTACCAGTGCATGGGATTGATTTGTCCTAAGTGCAGGACTTTGCACTTGTCCTTGTTGAACCTCGTGAGATTTATTTTGGCCCAATCCTCCAATTTGTCTAGGTCATAGGTTCGTAACCCCTTTCAGAGGCACAAGTGACAGATAGGTTCATAACCCCTAATGGCAGTTAGGCTTCAAATTGGGGCCTGCAGGTTGGTCTGAGGGCGTTTCTGTATGACAGAGTTCCTCCATCTATAGCTGTGCTGGGTGAGGTACATCAGCAGAGCGGAAAGGCAGCATATGATGGCAAAAGTGGGAGGTTTTACCAACATATCCATAGGATGTCACCCTGAAACAATGCAAGCTAAGACAATAGAAGTACTCATTTGTCTTCAGAGCTGCATCCACATTAGGGGTTTTGCAAACTTAGCAACATTGGGGGGGGGGAGGGGGGAATGACCTTTTTGCACCCCGAGTCAACTTAGCTATTCAGACAAAACTTTGTAATGTAGATTAGACCCGGAACGCTCTTTCTGCTGCATCCCCTGAATCTCATGGTGCCTAGTGTTACATTAAATAAGAGAGAAAAGACTGGAATTTAGCTAGCATTTCTCTTGTGTTAAATAATGAAGCTTTTTTTTAATTGTTGGGCAATTTCTGATTCTATACCTCACCCTGCATGACACCCTATCAGCCCATAACTCACTAATTTCAGTGCAGTCAGTTGTTTTTCACCAAGGGTAAGACTATCTGAATCTGGGCTTAATTAAACAGCCATGACTTGGAAGGCACAGCTGGTTGGAATTTTAACAAGGAGCCAGGCTATTTTATGTAGGGATTTTTTGTTTTTCATTTTTTTTCTCATCACAATCATTCATCTGACCTTCCCCACGCTGTAATGCTGAGAGCACTTTCATAACTGTGACCTGTTCCTGTACTCAAAATAAATGTTCTCCAAAGGGCCCGCTCTGAGCTTGGCAGCTTTGCTCAGCTGGACTGTATATTGCCCAGCTGATACAGGCAGCAAATTCTGCACCACATAAACTGAACGATTTAGCAAAGTACCTGCTAATTCCTCAGGCTTGTCACAGGGTAATCCTTCTCCCCTGGAAGAGGGGGTGATATAAAATAGAGAAAGGACTATATTCATTATCAACCCTTCCTGGCTAAGTGGAGCAAGACCTTAGGGCTAAGTAGAGAAGCTTCTGATGTTACTTAGCAGACTATGATGTGACCGTAGTCAAAGGGAAAATTGTGTGTGCTGAGAGTTCAGACAAAAAATACAACTTGTTTGGCAAGCTCGGGGCGGGGGGTCCCTGTCCTATTTCTTTCAAAAACTTAGATTTTTTTCCACTAAGGAAATGTCTTTGTGCAGAATCATTGGCTGCTATTTTTCAAACCTGCCTGCACTAGTTTTTATTCTGTCTCCTGCTGAGCTGAGCTTCAAAAAGCAAGTTGCTGAAACCAGAATATTAAGCTGAACTCAGCTCCCCTGTGAGCCACAAAATAAGCAGCTTGATTTGCGGAAGAGCCTGGACTCTTGGGTGATGGTTAGGCATGGAGCCCTTTTGGGAACCTGGCTAGCAGTGTTGCATTGGAAGCTGCTAGGGGGCTGAGTGCTGGGAAAATCTGGGCCAGGTGGAGAGGGGTCTAAATCCCAACTGGAGCCAATGGGGAATATAAGTCTGTCTGTGGATGCTGAATATTTGGACATCCAGCCACAGGCTCTGACATGTGGCTTAATCCAGAAGTAATTGAGATCAGTAAGAAAGCTCCTGTTGATTTCAGAAGCCCACAATGCCTGTGTATGGAAGGAAACTTCCCCTCTTGGCAGGGTTATTGGCACCTTACCCCACCCAAGCCTTTGGGTCTTCCAAGGCTGCAATGTCGTGCAGAATGAAAGGAGGCAACTCCAACTTTCCTTCTTCTTCACCCTTTCAGCACTGCCTACACTGCTGAGGCCACCGACTACGACATCCGGGTTCTGCTGAGGTTCCCTCAACGGGTGAAGAACCAGGGCACGGCAGATTTCCTGCCCAACCGGCCACGCCACACCTGGGAATGGCACAGCTGTCATCAGTGAGTCGGGGGAATCCAACCCTCTCCAGGGCCCTGCCAGCCCTAGGAGTGATTAGGCCTTGCAGCCGGGAACTGCCATAGGCAATGGAGAACTGGTTATGCCTCCAGTTCAGCAAAGCACTGGTGCAGACCATTAAGTGCTTTGCTGGGCTGAAGCTAAAATGCTTAGGGTTAAAGCTACCCCTGGTTGCCTGATCATCACCATCTTGCCTTCTTCTCCCCATGTTCTCATTCCCTCTCTCCAGCCCTTTTGGGGGTTTTGTTCTGTCTTTTTTTCCTCCCATTATCTTTTCTTCTCCCTTTTTTACATTTACCCCAAATGCCCAATGCATTCTGGGATATGAAAGCCTTAAGGGGGCTGCCTGCCTTGTGGCACATTTCTGGTGTGTGGGGTTCTACAACTTTCCCTGCCCCCTTCTAGCTCTTCTACCCTGTCCCTCATTTTCCTGGGCTGATTCTGTGCCCTTGCTACCAGCCCAGCCTTCATCCCCAAGTGTCTCTTTGGCATATACCCTGATGCAGGCATCTCTGCCCTTGGGTTTCTCACAGGCACTACCACAGCATGGATGAGTTCAGCCATTACGATCTGCTTGATGCCTCCACAGGGAGGAAGGTGGCAGAAGGCCACAAAGCCAGCTTCTGCCTGGAGGACACCACCTGCGACTTTGGGAACCTGAAGCGCTATGCCTGCACATCACACACCCAGGTGGGACCAGGAGATGGGACGGCAGCCAGCAAAATCTGGAGGGTGGGGTGGGGAGCACTCATGAACATGGCTGTTAGCTATACCTCCCTCTGAGTGCAAACCAAATGGCTTAATGCATGGCAGTCTTCCCTGAGATGCCCCCCCGGACTGCACACACACATGGGTGAGGGTGGTGACAGGCATCTACAGGAGCTATATCAAAACCTGGTCTTGACTTTCCAGCAGGGCATCATGCCATGGATGGGGTACACCTTTCTCATGGAGGGAGCAGGTGGACTTATCCCAGTGATTCCCCAGTGCTGCAGAGTGCTGGGACAAGAGGGGCACAGGGGTCTTTTCCAAATTCTTCACTATTTCTCCACTCCCTGCATTACCCTGAGTGGAAAAATCCAGTAGTCGCAGAAGAAAGATCTCAGAGCAGCTGGGCTGTCAGTAAGGTGCACCCTTGCTACACAATGAAAGTCTAGCAATCTTGAGCCTGTGCAGCAATCTGAATCTCTAATGCTACTTTTGTGCATATAGGACTGCAGCAGGTAGATACTTCTAATGTTGAGATATATAAGGAGGAGCAAAGAAGACATGAACCTATTTGTATGTAGTTAAGTAAAGGGGTTCGCTCAGGAGTCATTCCTGAAGGACACAAACATCCACTCCAGTAAACACAAGAAAACCTGTGTTTTACATTAGCATTAGTAGAAGATGCAGGCCAGGCACACACACAATCTGCTCCAAATGGAGTAACATGTGTAACTCCTGGATAGATTCCTATATAAGGGAAGGGAGGGAATACCAGGAAAGGGAAAAAAATGGGAAGACCTAGAGATAGAAAGCAAAGTCCAAACCCTGCTTGGACTCACTACAAGAGTCACTGGATTAAATCCTCTGGCCTGGGCTATATGGTAGGTGCAACTGCCTGATATAATGGTTTTTTCTGGTCTTCAGGTTCCTGTGCTAATGAACACTACTCTTTTCTTCTCCCAGGGCTTGAGTCCCGGCTGTTATGACACCTATAACGCTGACATTGACTGCCAGTGGATTGACATAACAGACGTACAACCTGGCAATTACATCTTAAAGGTGGGTTCTCTGGCCTCCTGGACTTCTAGCTATGGGTCATGGTGATGAATAGAGCTAGGCAATACATGGTGAGCATTTTTTTTGGTACACTGTGTCCCAGACTGTGATCTGATTGTGCTGCCAGACCTCCTATTGGTCATCTGGTTTGTGAACATCTGTCTAAAGAAAGTGTTGTTCATGTGAAGCTTCATAAACATGACTAATAATCAGAAATATGCCTGAGTGCCACCAAATACTTGATTACAAGCTACATACTGACAATTAGGAATAACAATAGTAGTGGTGGGAAGGAATGGGGGACAATGAAAATTAAACAATAAGAGGTCATCCTGGGTAAAAGATGCATGGAAATGCATTGTTTTGCTTTGTTTTCACACACAAACACTCTTAGACGAAATTAAACCCTGCTGTAAAGAGGTATAATGCTATTGACTGCAAAGGAAGTGAAAAACAATTATGCCAAGGTTGAATTTGACCCTCCCTGAATTTTCCCATTTACTGCAGTGAAAGATTATTGCGTCAGCTTGAAAAGCCATTTACTCTGCAAGGATAGTAGTGCCACAGGACTAATTGGGAACAGGACCAGGCACTCTACAGAGTAGTAGGTAGCCTCTGCTCCAAAAAGCTGAATCTAAATAGGCTAGACCAGTGGTGCTCAACCTTTTGGTCCCACAGGCCATATGAGTAGCACAGGGCTGGTTTGTGGACCAGATCTCCAGGGATTGGGCTCCGCACTGCCCAGATTAAGTCCCATGCTCCCTGATCTCATCTTGTGCCATCAAGATCAGGCTCTGTACATCTGGATCCAGCTTGCACTGTCCAAATTGCTCCCTGCGTGCCCAAATACTGCCTCACTTATGCATGGCCTGCTGTCCAGCCCATAGGGCGCCCCCATGAGTTCGGAAATTTGGCATCGGAAGAACAACAGTTAATACTGCCACTGCTCCCCTACTACCAATTTTGTTTGACCCCTGGGGAGCTCTGTGAGCCAGATGACACAGCTCCGTAGGCTGGATCTGACCTGCAAACTGGAGGTCTAGATGGACCTGCCAGAGGATTTATTTCCTGATTTTTTTCTTTTCTTGCTTGCCTTTTTTAGGTTCAGGTGAACCCAAAATACATAGTACTGGAGTCAGACTTCACCAACAATGTGGTGAGGTGCAACATTCATTATACTGGACGTTACGTGGCTACTACAAACTGCAAAATTGCCCAGTAAGAAATTTGCTCTCTCTCTGTCTATCTGTCCGGGTTCGTACCTGGTGCCCATCATTGTGGGGTCTGCCTTGCCTCTTTCTGAGTCTTCCTTTCTGTTTTTCTTGGCTCCTTCTCAGTGGGTTGGAGAAGAAAAGAGAAATGGACCTTTGGGTAGGAAAAGGCAGTGCCAGAAATAATGAAGAAATAGTACCCAAATAGCAAGAGACCTTGAGGGACCATGGCTACACCTGAGGGCCTAATGGGACTTTGGTTTGCACGTTAAATCAGGGATGTCAGACTTTCCCTGAGCTCGAGGCTGGATCTGGATAAGAGGCCTCCTCCTACGCCAGATCCACAGGTCTAGCAGCAGGGGTCTGGTGGCAGCTGCAGGTGTCTGGGATCATCATTGCCGGAGGTGGTAATGAGGGTCCAAGTGGCATCAAGCCATTGGTCACAGGGCACCCAAGAGCTATGTCACATAGCCCTCTTTTGACAGTCATGTCTAGCAGGGCCCAGGGGGCCCAAAATCTGTGGTAGCCATGCCCCCAGTTTCTGGTTGACGAGCCAGATGGAATGGCACCACAGGCCAGATCCAGTCTTGGGCTATATGTTGGACACCTCTGTCTTAAATAAAAGAGTTTTGGATCCAGATGCCATTTCAAAATGACCTGCTTCCCAAACAGCTCCTGCCTCAGAGCAAAGATCCCCTTGTTCTGCTGCCCTTACTCACCATCAGTCTCTGGTCTTTACAAAGCCTTATGCACAAGATATCTCACTCAGGAGTTCTCGCCCAAGGAACAACCCAAGTTTCATAGAATTTCTCTCCCCACCCAATGCCTCCACCCCCATCACTCACTCCCTGATCATGCAGGATTGCCCCCTGTGTCCTGCTGCCTTGTGTATACTTGAGTGATGGATACACAGGACTGGGGACCTGGAGCCTTGGCCTCTGCTTGTAGTTGTGTCATTAACCCATTGTGTGAGCACACGAAGTCTCTGAGGGCCTGGAGGCTGCTGAGGAAGTGGACTGCAAAATAGCCAGGGAGGCAGTTTACAGCAACATCAGGGCTGCTGTGTTTTGCAGCAGTAGAGTAGAGCAAGCTGGGATCAAGCCAAGATGACAGAAGGATACTGCATGCTAAGCTTGCTTCCAGCACCTCCTACGGAGTCACCAAGCCCAGCTGGGGTAAGCAAAAGGGTGCCAGGCTGAGGATCCTGGTCACAGTGTGACTGATTATTGGAGCTACACTTCCTTCCCTTTCTGCAGTCCTGTCCCGGCCTCCTCTGTGTGTGCTTGGGAATCACTCTGGTGTTTCTTCGAAGCAAATCTGTTAATACCATAACCACACAGGGTGGGGGAAGCCAGCACAAACAAGAATCCAGCAGCGAAGGCTTCCCAGAACTGCCGCGTGATGGCTGTTGACTTTGACAAAGTAACCGAGTGGGGAGGGGAGGGAATGAGAGAGGGAGTCCGTTTTCTTTTTTAAGTAATTTCGTTTTGCTTTAAATTTTCCCATAAAAAAGTATTTGGAGCCTGGCTCAAGCTTGGTCCTGAATGGAAAGAAAAAAAAAAGTGGCAAGCCAAGGCTGCTGGAGGTTAGACTCCAGGCTCTAACAGGGAGAGACTTTGCTGTCTTCTGTTATAATCAGAAACTGTGATGGCTCAGGGGATGGAGGACGGGGAGCTTTGCTCCAGGCTGGTAGAAGCTGAGTCCTGACTGCAGCACAGGTGCACAGGGAACCAAGATTAAGACCCTGGAAAACAGTTAATGCAAAATGTGGGTGGATCCCTTGCTCTGTTTGTGATTTAGCCTTACTGCCAAGATGAAGATGTGTTACAAAAGTAGGTGCATGGATGCTTTTCAGTGTATCCAGTGGGGTGGAATAGGATCACATATAGGTACCTAAATCCATCAGATGCCTCGCAGTTAAAATAAGGTATGGCCCACAGAGCTGATGGACAGCAAGGGAAACTTAGGTTGGGCATTATGAAGAGTTTTCTAACTGAGGGGGATTGAACACTGCAACAGACTTATCTAGAGAGGTTGTAGAATCGTCACCCTTGGACATTTTTGAGAGCAGACTAGACTAACATTGTTTGGGATGCTTTCCAGCAGGGAGCCAGACTAGACGACCATGCAAGATCCCTTCTAGCCTTATTTTTCTATGATTCTTTCAAACTGTTGACTCCTCTTATCTTCCCCTCACAGGTCTTGATCCAAACAGGGCTAGAAGGGTAACACATGACGCTGACTTCTCCACCCAAATTCAGCCCTTAAGATGGCACTTGGAATGACCTGTTCTGGGACATGAGACACTGGGCACATCAGATGTTTCTCTAATCCATCAACTTCTCAAGATCAAACC